CTAATGCGGCTATTTAGAATGTGAATAGCGATCTTCGGGTGAGAGCCGTACTACACGCCCCCGATGCCGATTTAACCAAATTTTAAAAACTAATACTTCCGACAATGGACGTTTTGAAAAGAATACAGATTACGGATTTAGCCAGCGTTTTTTTCATGATTCTACATTAAGATTTCAGCAAGATATAAACTGAAATAGACGCAAAAAGTACGCGATGTTGCCGACGACATACTGGACCCCAGAGAGTTAAGGTACCCACCGGTGGCCTCTGGAAGTAGGGACCGGTTGGTACCTGGAAGTATACCCAGTATTTAGTGCACCTTCCCTGGGTAGACATTGGACAAGGGGCCCTTCAGGCCCAAGACAGTTAACCTGCCTTGCCCCTTCTTAACCCAGCTTGGGGGCATTTAACCAACTATCATAATGTAAATGCTGATTTTGCATATTTATTTGTTTGATATTATACAGCTAACTATTATATGACCGGAACCACAGCATTTAATTACAGTAATTAAACATAACTTTATTGATAGCATAGTTTTTCTATAAACTAAACATTAGTTTTTTTGATTATTAGCTTTTACATATATTAAGCAATGCATTTGTGATAGCAATATTTAAATACATTAAATGTGTAGTTTTTTTCAAATAAATTAAACATTTATTTCATGATTTCAGGCAGCAGCATTCCTGTAAATTATACAGTGCATTCCTTAATGTTAGCATTTACATATATTTAACAGTGCATTTATAAATAATATCATTTACATATATTAATGCATTTGTGATAGTATTTACAGAAATTAAACATTTAGTTACTGAACAATATCATTTACAGAAATTAAACATTTAATTACTGAACAATAGTAATATTAATGCATTAGTGATATCATTTACAGAAATTAAACATGCTTTTGTGGACTTATGCAATTATGTAAAATCACAGTGCATTTCTGAAAACTGGTGGTGAAACCTGTGTCGTACTGATTATAACCTGCAGGTTATAAACTTGCAGATTTGCACTGTGATTATGTGCATATTAAATAATTTTCATTTATGTTCAGATTTGCATCATTTATTTTAATAACGTTTCAAATTTATGGTTAAGGAGGTGGTTTTGGTCATGATTGTGGTTCTGGTCAGAGTTATAATCATGGTTACGGTTATGGTTAGGCTTAGCAGTTTTATGGTTATGGTTAGGGCTACCGGTGGGCCCTGGGATCCTACCCAGGCTTTGATGCACCTTACCTCACCTACCATTCCAAGGAACCACCACTGGTCCCCCGGAGGCCCATGGTTTGACTTTGACTTATGGTTAGTGATATGGTTATGGCTATAGCTACCAGTGGGTCACGGGACTACTACCAGGGCTTAGATGCACCTTCCCCCGGCTACGATTGCAACAAACCACCGCTGGTCCCCTGGAGGCCCGTGGTTCGACTTTGACTTATGGTTAGCGATACGATTATGGTTAGAAATTGCAGTAGGTCCTGGAACTACTACCCGGGCTTCAATGCACCGCCCCCCGGCTACCATTCCAAGGAACCACCGCTAGTTCCTTGGAGACCCGTGATTGGACTCTGCGCTGTTACAGCCCACACACATTGACACAGTGCCCTGTTACAGCACACACAAAAACACACACACAATGCCCACTTAGAGCACACACACAGCATCCATTTCGGGCCAAAATTCTTTTACTATAGACTTTCTTTACTTTTTATTTTTCAACTATCCTTGTTTATTTTACAGTGTAAGCAGTGAAACAGAGATAGATGTACATTATCTAATGCTTGGTCTCAGCCATTTTAAATATTACCTTGTTTTCCACTTGTTTGTAAAAGTAGATCAGTAGTATCTTGGTCTTTATGCCTTGTTCCATTTCCTGTGCCTGTATCATCTTTTTTATGCATTACAGTTGTCACACCCTGCCTGTACCGCCCTCATGTGGACCACGCCTACCTCGTTAACCCCATGTGGAATCCTTCCGTTTACCTGTATTTCCTGCTTGTAGTCCTGTGTATATTAGTCCGCGTTCAAGTTTGTTTCCCCAGCTCTGCCATTAACATTACGTGTTTCCCCCTAATAAACCCTGTTTTAGCGTATTTCCCGGCTCTCTCCTCTGATTCCCTGCTCGCCCGACACGCATCATAAAAGAATGACAGACCTCAACAAGAAATGATCCCCCCCTAGCTGAGGACGAGTACCTCGGCTTGGTTGACGAGGTCCTTTACTGGCTGGCCCAGCCGGAGGTCCGAGAGGACCCTATAGCCCGGGCTTTAGCCAGTCACAGCCGGGACATCTTGGAGATGTCCCTCGCTGAAGACGCACATCTAGCGGAGGATGTGCGCGACAATCTCCGGCAGCTGCGGGAGAGGCTAACCGGACGGGAAGCCCGGCCGATCTGTGTCTCCGGAGAATCTCAGCCTCCACCGAAAGCCCAGACTCGGAGGAAGAAAAAGCAGAGGGGCTAAGAGGCTCGAAGAGACGCCGGCGATCCCCTTATGGGCAGTAACCCTCTCGCTTTCCTCCCCCGCCGGGTGCTCGCCTGAGCCCCGTCCTATCATGGACCCGGCGGTGTTTGAGACGGCTGAAGCGCGTGCAGAACCAGCTTTTGCCAAACACTATTTCACCCTCCAGGGGCTCTACTGGAGGGTGATCGAGGACCGAGCCATACAGGAGTCCGCTGAAGCTGTCCAGTCTCTGCTCCGCCTCCCTCTGTGTCTCCTCTGTTCCCTTCTGGTCCCTTTGACCCTCCTGTCTTTGCTCCTCGTCCCTCAGTGTCTCCCGTGTTCACTCCTCGCCCTGTTGTTCCTCCGTTTTCTGTCCCCTGTGTGTCTCCTTTCCTTGTCTGCCTGTCTGCGTTTCCTGTTCTTTGTCAGGTTCTGTTTTGGTTCCTGTCCTTGTCCTTGTTCTGTGTTTTGGTTTTGTTCCCGGTGTCCCGTTGATGTGCTTTGCTCTTGTTTTTCAGGTCCCAGTCTTGTCTCATCCGTCACCTCCCCTGAGGCGCGCACTCCTTGCAGTCCTGTGTATATTAGTCCGCGTTCAAGTCTGTTTCCCCAGGTCTGTCATTAACGTTATGTGTTTCCCCCGAATAAACCCCGTTTTAGCGTATTTCCCGGCTCTCTCCTCTGATTCCCCGCTCGCCCGACACGCATCATAACAACAGTTTATAATAATAGTAATAATAATAATTTTAATAGGTCATGGAGGCAAAGGGTGACGAGCCTAACAAGGTATAACTTGCTGTTGCTCTTTCTGTTTCTGATACGTGACCATCACTACAATTGTAGTATATATAATACATATAGCTGAAATCATAACACCAAGTTATTTGAAATATCAATACTTAAATTAAATAGGTTAAATTATGCTACAATAACAGCTGGTAAAACCAATTGGCTCCAAAGATCTTAAACATAGAGGCTAATGTTTTTAATGCAGTATTAATCAGATATGATATGGTTAATCAATCAATCCAGATTTATGTGTTAAACATTGCTATCACAGCACAGTTCTCTATTTGTAATTATGTTTATTATATTAAAACTTTACTATTTATTTTATAGTAATCAAGGGCTGAAGATGTAAATGATGAAACTGATTGCACTGATCTGTCATCAGGACACACAAGTGGCTCTGAATATGTCCCATCCAGTGATCACTCTGACAGTGATGCTCTCCATTTGGACAATGACAGTGAATCAGAGACTCAAGAAAAATCCCAAAAGTCCCGAAATGAAGATGGTAGGCCAGACAACATGAAAGTGAAGGTTAAAAAGTGCTCAATAAAGGAGGATTAGGGTTAAGGTTAAGGTTATGGTTACGGTTATAGTATAATGTTTTGATTGGTTTAAAACCATTTTAGTGACATTGGCATCACTGTCGTTGTGCGTTTGTTCAATTATCCCCTTTTGTGCAACAAGGACGTCCCCACCTCTGGCAATCACTTACTTAAATTTTATGAATATCTCATCACCTAAAACCCGCATTGACCCACCATTGCATCAAAAGATAAAACATAAAATAAATAAATATATAATTTTAAAATAGATTCATAAAATGTTACTTATCTAATTTGCTATTTATTATACAGGATATTTAACTTTTCTGGGCTCTGGCCAATTTATTGCCCCATGTGGGATTCAAAGCCAGACTTTCCATATTCCAGTGCTAGGTCTTAACCTCAAGGCCAAATCCCCAATCCCTTTGGTACCTATCCTGGGTGGGTCCTTCTACTTCCCAGTCATGACATCTCATTTAATATCTAAATGAATATTTTGTCCCCATAGAATTTTATACGGCTTAAACTATATTTAACTATATTTTATTGTGTTTATTCACCCCCCCATTTTTTTCTTTTTAGTTACCAGACACAGGGTGGATTTGAACCCTGGTCCCCCAATCATGGGTCCAGTGTTCCATACCCCTCCACCACTGGGTTCTCGCAGCCAACAGGTTGTCCCCCACCGGTTAGCATTTAATCTATGCCCCATCTATTAAGTTAATTTAGGAGCTGATAACCACCTTATTCATCTATTAACTGTCCCGACCACACAGATCAGAATGTGTCCACCAGTTAAACCTCATGTTTGGCCAAGTGTTACCTATCTAGCCCCATAAAAATTTACATCTATTGATACACTGTTTCCAAAGGGGTAGAACAAGCCAACCATTGTGGTAATCCTCTATTGAGGGGAGACGACAATTAAAGAGACCACAGTTGACCAACATATTTTTTAATTTTTATTTAGACCGTTGAAGGTCCCTGTGCCGTAGATTGATGTTCCTTGTGCCCCCTTGGCTTTAGTAAATAAAATAAAGGTACTACAAGTTATCTCACAATCCAACATTATTAGATCCAGCCTAGACTCTAGAAAACCCGAGTCCAGCTCAAAGAAGGCAGTCTAGGGTTATGGTTAGAATTACAGGGGTAATTATGTTTTTGTGGTAATTATGTTTTGTGATTAGGGGGCGCGTAAGCGGGTGGATGCATGGGCCCGAATTGGCCAGTGTATTTCTGTGGCCCTGGGACGCTGGGGTCACAGGCCCTGGGGTGTCTAACCCCAACTTATAACCATAACCATAACCATAATTATAGATTTCAAATTGAAGGCCCTAACCTCTAAATTTTAATTACCCCCCAGATGGTAACCCTAAACCTGGACCAAAAATTGGGGCCCTAATCCTAATTAGTGAATTTAAATGGAGGGCCCTAACCCTAAAATTTGGATCACCCCCCAGATTCTAACCATAATACTGGACTCCACATTGGGGGCCCTAACCCTACGGTTAGGGCCCTCCATTTAAATTTACTAATTAGGATTAGGGTTAAGGTTAGGGGTTATGGTTAGGGTTACGGTTAGGGTTACGGTTAGGGATATAGGTAGGGGTTAGGAACCCCAAGGCCTGTGACCCCAGCGTCCCAGGGCCACAGAAATGCACTGGCCAATCCGGGTCCATCGTAAGCAACCACCCGCTTACATGCACCCTGTCCGTCCCCCAACTGGGGCTCAACTATT